AAACTATGAAAGCCCACTAAAATTATTTTATAGCTAGTAAATCAATTTATGATTCGATGTCATTGATAACAGATTAGACCAGCATTTTAGAATGAACAAATCAGTCCTATATAACGCCTAAGTAACCACATCCTTTCACATTCCATGGCTTCTCTTCTTTCTTAGTAGCTTGTCTCTTCATTTTTGCTTTCAACTTCATTTCCATCTCACATCGCATCAACTTCTCCAAGGCGATTTCTTTCAGTTTCGCCCAAAAGTTTCTGCCTTTGTGAACACACATAAGCTTCTCTTTTCGTTGTTGAGCCTTTTCTTTCACAATGATACCCTTTTTGCTTACGCTATGCTTCTCTACCTTCTTGTGTGTTGTTTCTGCTCTGAGCTCTGATGGGGTCTCTCTGATTTCACTCTCAAAGCATTGGCCATTTGTGCCTCCTTCCATAAGCTCAAGCTGGAATGTCTCTGACTCAACTCCATGCTTATGGGTCGGAATCCAGTGTGGCTATGCCCATAATGTCATCTCCATTAACCTCACTTCTTTTTCCATTTTTGGTCGGTTGGGACCTGAAATAGCACAATTGAGTCACTTGCAAACTCTTACTTTTTATAACAACAGTCTCTCAGGAAGAATTCCCTCTCAAATAAGCAATTGTAGTATGCTTGTTTATTTAGACCTTTCTCAAAACAACTTTACAGGAAAAATACCAAATGGCTTAAGCAACTGTAGTATGCTCGAGCACCTGGATCTTTCTGTGAATGCTCTCGGTGGGGAAATTCCAAATAGCTTCAATAGCTTGCGAGAATTGCAATATTTCAACCTTTTTTCCAATCTATTCTCAAACATTGGAATTCCTGAATACTTGTTTGATTTTCCTCAGTTAGACAGTGTGTTTTTGGAATACAACAACCTAAGTGGTCCTATCCCAACGAATGTTGGCAATAGCACCAAACTTCAGAGGTTGTATTTGCACAATAATCAGTTGTCTGGGATGATACCCTCTTCTATTGGAAACTGCAGTAACTTGAAGGAATTGTTTCTGGGGGAGAACCGGTTGCAGGGGATTTTGCCTCAAAGTCTTGACAATCTCCAAAATCTTGTCTTTTTTGATGTAAACCATAATAATCTCGAGGGTCCAATTCCATTAGGTTCTAGAAATTGTAAGAATCTAGAATTTTTGGATTTGTCATACAATGTATTTAGTGGGGGGATTCCTACTGAATTGGGGAATTGTATTGGCTTGACACAAATTTTTGCTGTTCATAGCAACTTAGGAGGCAAAATTCCATCGTTCTTGGGCCTATTAAGCAACCTTTTTGTTCTTCGCCTTTCCCAGAACAATTTAGCTGGACAAATACCTCGAGAAATAGGTCGTTGTAGGTCTTTGGAACAGTTGATTTTACATACCAATCAACTTGAAGGAGAAGTTCCTAGGGAGTTGGGGATGCTAACTGAGCTGCAGGATTTTCAATTGCATAACAAGAAGCTCACAGCGAAATCCCAATTAGCATATGGAAAATTCAAAGTCTGGTGTATATTTTTTTATACAACAATCGTTTTCATGGGGAAGTGCCTTTAGAAGTCACCAAGCTTAAGCAACTACAAAAAATCTCACTGGCTGATAACAACTTCTCTGGATTTATACCTCAAAGTTTAGGAATGAATAGTAGTTTGGTGTGGTTGGACTTGACAAATAATAGTTTTACTGGTCACCTCCCTCCAAATCTTTGTTTTGGAAAGAAATTAGAGAGGTTGGTTGTGGGTATCAATCAACTGCAAGGTAGCATACCTTCTGACATTGGAGCTTGTACAACTCTCACAAGGTTGATTCTAAAATCAAATAACTTCATTGGAGTTCTTCCTAATTTTAAAAATAATATGTATCTTGAATACATGGACATCAGTGACAATAGCATCAGTGGGGCAATTCCGTCAAGTTTAGGGAATTGCAAAAACCTCACTGATATTAATTTGTCCATGAACAAACTTTCAGGGCTCATTCCCTTAGAGCTAGGGAAGCTTGCAAATCTTAGGAAGTTGAATCTTTCTAACAACAATTTGTATGGTCCTTTGCCTCTTCACCTAACAAATTGTACCAAAATGGAATACTTTGATGTAGGATTCAATTACCTGAATGGTTCATTTCCTTCAAGTTTGTGCAAATGGACAAGGCTATCAACTCTGATCTTAAGTGATAATCATTTTACAGGGGGCATCCCGGCATTCTTGACAGAATTTGAAATGCTTTCTGAGCTACAACTTGGGGGCAATGCACTTGGAGGTGAAATTCCTAGCTCAATTGGATCATTGCAGAATCTGCCATATGGGTTGAATTTAACTGCTAATGGGCTGGTAGGTGATGTTCCATTAGAGATCGGGCAACTTAACATGCTTCTGAGATTAGACTTATCTCTTAACAATCTATCTGGAAGCATAAAAGTTCTTGAACAACTCTTTTCGCTAGTTGAAGTCAATATTTCATTCAATTCATTTATTGGTCCTGTACTAAATGCACTGATGAAGCTGATGAGTTCTCATCCCTCATCGTTCTTGGGCAATCCTGGTATGTGTGTTAATTGTTTTCCCTCAGATAGCTTCAACTGCTTTAAGAATGTTGTTGTGAGGCCCTGTGCATACAAATCAAGCCATCAGAAAGGACTGAGTAAAATTAAAATCATATTGATATCACTTGGATCATCCATTTTTTTCATTCTTTTGTTGTTAGGACTAGCTTTTATGCTTCTCCTTCACAAAAGATATTTGAAGGATGTTAGAATATTTGCTAATCACGGTTCATCTTCCTTGCTCAAGAAAGTCATGGAGTCAACAGAGAACCTAAATGATCGATATATAATTGGTAGAGGAGCTCATGGAGTTGTCTATAAAGTTTCACTGAATCCAAATGATGTTTTTGCTGTGAAGAAACTTCCATTTGCCAACAACGAAGGGCAAAGCAAAAGCATGAGGAGAGAACTTGACATTGTTGGGAAGATTCGGCATCGAAATCTGGTCTGATTGAAAAACTTTTGGTGGGGAAAGGACGGTGGCCTGATCATGTACACATTCATGCAAAATGGAAGCTTGCATGATGTTTTGCATGAGACGAATCCACCACTATCCTTGGCATGGAGCGTTCGCTATAAGATAGCTTTTGGAAGTGCTCATGGATTGGCATACCTCCATTTTGATTGTGATCCAGTCATAGTACACCGAGACATCGAACCACAAAATATACTTTTAGATTCTGATATGGAGCCTCATATTGCTGATTTTGGTATTGCCAAGGTTTTGGATCAAATCGCTACTTCAACAACCTCTATAGCTGTTCCTGGAACAGTGGGGTATATTGCACCAGGTGACTCTCCTCCTTATTTTTTGTCATTTTATTCTCATTTTTCTTTTCTTGAAAATTCTTTAATGGATCGACATGTTTTCTTTGGTTTGTGACAGAGAATGCATTTTCAACTGTAGTGAGTAGGAAATCTGATGTATATAGTTATGGAGTAGTTTTGCTTGAGCTATTAACCAGAAAGAAGGTGTTGGATGCTTCATTTATGGAGGGAACAGATATAGTGGGGTGGGTTAAATCTGTATGGGAAGAATCAAAAGAAATTGATGGGATTGTTGACCCAAGCCTTGGGGATGAACTTTGGGATTCAAATGTAAGGGAGGAAGTTGAGCAAGTTCTGTTGGTGGCATTTAGATGTACTGAGAAGGATCCAAGTATGAGACCAACAATGAGAGAAGTCATCAGCCAATTGATTATCAGAAGAAAAGCTCATGGCAATTAGTAATAACTAGAGTGCTCCAACGACCCCATGATAGTTTCATTTATGATCTTGAGTTTTTGCTTCTTTCTTTTCTTTTCTTTTTTTTTTTTTAATGATGATCTTGAGCGTTTATGCTTGTCTTGATTGTAAAGTAGATAAAGAGATTGAAAGTCATGGCCAATAAGTTGTTGAGAAAGAGCAATGAGCGCTTTGTCCAAATTTCTCATTTGAAGCCAAATGGGTCTACGTTTCACCTTTAATAATATCTCAAATATTTAATTGACTCGTACTCATTAACAGCAATCATCATATTATTTAATACACCTTTCAGGTTCTATCTACAGAGACCATTCAATAAATGTCTTAATATATATAATATTTAGATTGGAAGACGCAACACTGAACCCATTAAATACTAAACGTCGGTTTATTTTTCTTGAGGCCCCTCAAAAAGTTTATTCATGCACAGGCAACTTTTACTGGTTAACCTTCATTAATTTATAATTTTTTGTTTATACTTACTGCCATTGCAAGCATTTCCATGCCTTGGAGTATAAACCATGAATACATGCAGCCTGATTTTAGAGGGAATATGCCTTATATCAATATTCAATAAACTTTCATATCGCTTTCATGTGTACAAACGAAAGCGATGTAAATGTAGCAGACTTTACAGTAAAGAGACTGGCATTGTGGTTACTGAAACAATTACAGTAATCCTAGTATTTGGTAAGTTTTCCTTATGAGGCTGTCTTGGACTCAAAAATTCATTAGCAGGAGGTAATTTACTAAATACAAACCAATCACCATTGCTTTCAATCCTCATGATGGTCAATTCTTTCTCTGAATCTCTCTGATATTTTCTCTGTTCTTTCTTGCTATATTTCCTCTGATATTTGCTGCTTCATGTAATATATTTACATTCTTGTCACTGTGCATATTGGTCTTCTGGTTGTTCGAGCTAGTTGGATCATAACACATCATTACCAAAATGTAGCAAAAAATAGCAGATCAGTGGAGTAGGGGCTATGGAGAGGTTCAACTATATCACTATCAGTCACTGATCGATCTCTATCCTGTTCATTTGGATTCCTTAAACTAAATTAGGATTACAGCCTATTTAATTGTTGGAAAAGATACGAATTATATTGGAATAAAATCATTAAATATATACTTATATAAAGATGTTTGATGATTTTGAAGTTATCAAAGATAAGAGACACAATTAAAATTAAAACATCAAAAGTCTAAAATATACCAGCTGCCACACTTATTTTAAACTCATTTCTTAACGACATCATATATCCTAGGTAGGACTAATTAAGTTCATATTCATGCAGCTGTGTGACCTACTATATTGGATGCATAGGCACGTAGGTTGTTCATTCTCATAATCAGAAATGGCACCAGACCACTGAGTTATTCAGTTTTCTGGAACCCATTTGTAGCTGAGTCGCCTCCATCAGTTCCTCTCGGCGGGTCTCCATCACTGGATGTTAATGGATGAGACAATCTGTTTCAAAAAAAAAATTACTCTTACTCATTATGCTTACTATTTACTGAACTTATACATATAGTATCATTTATAGAAAGTATATGTACTTACGCTTCAGTTTGAGTCTCATCTGTTGTTTGGGATGTTTCACAGGAAATGGTTGGCTTGATATTATTATTATTATGCTTATGTGTTTCTGTCGAGCCTTCTGTGGTACTTGCTTGCCTCTTTGCATCCCCATTTGGTGGTTGATAGGATACTGAGTTATATTCTCGTGGATGGTCATGTGTACCTACAGAACCTCCAGGGGTTCCTGTCGACCTTACTCCATCTTTACACAGTTTCCTATAATTTGATCTGTTTCAAACACCATTACTTTTATTGATTTATATATATATATATATATGTATATATATATATATGCATGTCATTTATCAAAAGCAACAATATTTGACTTCAACATATGAGAACTGATTATAAGAAAATTGTCTTCTAATCAATCGGTTTTGTTTCTTGCACCGTAGTTTCATTCACGTTTTTTGTTTTGACCAGCACTTACGCCTTAGTTTCATTCACATTTTTGTTGTTTGTTGAGAGCTTTCGCAGCTGGTAGTTGTTGGCTTGACATTATGTGAGCCTTCTGAGGCACCTTGTTGCCTCTTTTCATCCTCTGGATATCTATATCAAAAAAAAGAAAAAAAGAAAAATACTATATATATATATATTAATCTAATTATCATCAATTATACTTGATTATATAGCTCTCACACATAAATTTATATGCATGTATAATTTAAAAGGACGTCAAATAATAACCTGATGATCGATTCCTTTGGTTCCATGAGTTTTCGTTGATAATCAGCAACAGCAACTCAGTCTGAAGATATATGGCTGAATTGCATGAGCTGGCATGAGATGAGAATGTATTTATAGAGAGATGAATTGAAGAATTGTCATTATATATATTATTCATAGTTGCATTTGCATAGTTTCTTAATTTCATGGGTTCCAATTCCATGTTGTTTTCGATTGAAAATTCAACAGCTGCATACGACTACGAACAAACAAAGTCGATACGATCAATTTTTAAAGTAAAAGTTAGAAAATCTAATTAATGGACTTCCCACTACGTGCTATATATGGTTGAACTATCAAGCCTCACCATGAAAATTAATTAGCAAGCTTTGTTTGCAGGTCTATTTCATGTGCTCCATGTATGTATATATATACATATATACATATATATCATATGCGTCACATGCACTATTAGAAAAATTGAGTTAATTAGGTCTAAAGTTCTATGCCTTTTGGTTAAAACAGCGGACAGGAAAGTGGCAATTATGCTTCATAGAATTGGAGATTAATAAAAATGATTAGTGTCACATACTGGAGTGCAGCCTTGTGTGTTTTGTAAGTGATGCGCACAAAATTTTAACATATTGCAAGTGCATGAATCTAATATAGTAAAGTGAATCATGGTCATCTCACAAGGAATTAATTAAAAGAAATTGGTACAAACGAAAGTTGTTTTCATCTTAATTAAGTTAGTCAATCAAAGATGAAGTTTTTATTAAATTAAAAATATGAATAAAATAAAATGAGTATAGAGAATAAATTTGAGCTAAGATTAGCAATTAAAGAATACCCTAGAAATTCCAATCCCTTTTTGTGCTTTACAATTCAATTTTTTTTAGTTATCACATTTTAATTTAACTTTGAAATTGTCACAACCCCAAAAAATGGAGGGTAATTGGCACGGGGTATGAACCATATAACACATCTCCGTAAGCCTCTAATCTTAAACTCATTTCATTTCTAAAATGTAATAAAATTTATATTAAAATTTTAACATTTTTGGTATTGGTCATTATAATAAAATTAAAAAAAATTGTAAAAATTTTGACAAAACCTCGTCTGTAAATAGAATCTTCCAAAACTCTACAATACAAAAATATTTACAGAATATCATGTCAATCAAGAGCTTAGCTCTTCCAACGAATAGACAATATATATACAAAAAATAGAAGCCCTAGGCATAGCATATGTAGAGCACCTAACTAGACCTCTCCAAAATAACATACATAAGCATTGATAGTTACATAAAACGGGAAATTTTAATCAGTTCTTTACCCAGCACATCTATGAGTTCTCATGGATCGATCGGAGGATCGGCATCAACTAGGGTATCTGAGACTAAAAATAATTTTCCAATGAATACCATCCTAACAATAAATAATTGAACATAACAAAAGATTTAAACAATTATGTTAGTTAAAGAGGCAACGATCTTTATAAAAATTTAATAAACTTTGAAATAAAATGATTCTATAAAATTTTAAATAAAATCTTGAACCATTAAAATCTCATAATAAATAATATTATCACTTGATTGCAAGGAAGCAAATAAAAAAAAATCAATAATTATAAATAATTTACTATTTAAAACTAATGGGATGTAAAATTATCAAATAAGCAAATTCATATAATAGGGACTTATTAGAACAATTAACAAACATGGACACACAGTCCACGAGGGTAAATAACTAAACGCGGCGCTCGCCACGAAAACAAATGTGGACACACAGTCTATGAAGGTAAGTAACCAAATATAGCTCTCACCATGAAACAAGCGTAGACACATAATCTACGAGGGTATGTAACCAAACGCAGCCAAGGCCATGAAACAAATGTGAGTACGATGCTCATGAATAACCATCTCTCCGTTCCACGTGCGTTGGCCATCGCACAAGGTTAATACCTCCTATACACACTCTGCTAACTAGGTGTACCATGACGCGTCAAAGTCTAATGGAACTGCTGTTAGCAACTAGTGTTCTATATAATTTTTTTTTTAAAAAAATTATTTTCAAACATGCGAGAAATTGATAACCATTCAATCAAGTTTTCCTTTTCAATGTCGAACTAGCATGAATTGTTTTTCCGTAACAATTCAATAATTTTCAAATTGAAATCCCACAATTAGAATTCAAACTTGTATTTACTGATTAACTAAAATAATCAATTCTGGTAAAATAATTTCACAAAATAAAGTAATTTAATCAAAAAAATATCTCATAATCAAATTGTTGTCGTAAAAAGAATTTACATAAAAATGTAATATTTGAATAAAAGAGATTTTAATGAAATATTAGTTGGGACGCTATCCACTTACCTGAAGTATTCTCAAGATTCAAAATTCACCTTATACCACCTCAAGCAAATTTCCCTTTTTCCAAATATCCTATAAAATATAATAATATCTTAATGAACTTTATTTTTGAATCAATAAGATCCCTTTCCAAGAGAATCCACTTAGCCAAAATTAACAAGAATAACTTTAAAATTTTAGTCACACAATTTACACATAAAGGTTTATCCATAACATTCAACCATAGTTTGTTAGTCAGTTAAAATATACTCTCTCCTTAAGCTTTTTGTTAAATGCCCACCATACAACATTCCAAATCATTCAAAAAAAAAAAATTATAACCTTTAATTCTCTTATCCTAACAAATTCCAAATATCCAAGTATAACTTCTAAAGTGATAATATATCTTATGAATTATAAGCCATATAACTCTCCACAATTCAGAACTCAATCAAGATCTTATTAACTCCTAAGATAGATTCCTTCACAAAACTCAATTTAGAATAACCAATTAATATTGCTCAAGCCCAAGCATGCTTCTTGTGAAATTAACACGATTACACACATACATATAGAAAAATCAATCAAAACTCTTCTAATAAGAATTTTATCAAACACCTTGTAAACATTAATATCCGATTGTAGTACTAAGGTTCACTCTCTTCAATTCAATTTTTTTTTCATCATCAATTTTTTTTACTTTAATTTCCATGTTACCTAATCTTCTTATTCCTTCAACGGAAATCAATTGGCCATAAAGAACATTTAAATAAATTCATCCTCTATAACAACAACATAAAAGTGAAATTATCCAATGAAAATCATGCTCTTAAACTCAAATTTCAATTTAAATCAAGCTTCCCTTTCCATATATACACACATATAGTCACGAATAACAGCAATAGCACAACAAAGAAAAATCACAATCTCCATCATTAAAAAAAACGCACAAATCAGATAAGGAAGAGGAAAAATTCAGAATTTCAGATAGCAAATCAGCCACAATAAAGCACATAAAGAAGAACCTGATGATGCCAAAAATGGAAGGAGAGGGAAAGAAGGACTTGATGCTCTAAGTCACAGCAGCTCACACAGAGGGAGAAGAGGAGGAGAAGTTCATGGTGGAGAACAGGGGGAGGAGATTTCTGAGACATCCAAGTCGATACTCGAATAGAGGAGAAGAGGAAGGGTCGCGCGAGCATGACTTCGACGAGAATGATGGGAGAACATAGTCACTAATGGCTGCTAGCTGAATGAAGGAGGAAGGCGACACTGTAGATGAAAAGGGAAAGGAAATCAGTGCAAAAATGAGGAAGAGAAGTGCGACGCGATCTCCACAACAACGTCGTACAGAACTCTAGCACTTCCCCACCAACGATGAATCGACAACAGAGAAGAAATGAGGAGGAGACAGAATGAAGGTTCTAGATATGAGACATCTCTCCCTCTCTCAGCTAACGATCCTTGGCCGAATTCACTGGAAGCAGAGAAGGCAAATATATTCTGATGGTATTGAGGGCAAAAATGGTAATTTCACAAAACTGGACACAAAAATAAAAATCTCTCTCTTTTTGCCCCAGCAAGAATCAAATACATGACCTGATGCACTTAACTTATCAGTGCAACTCCCACTAGAGTAAGAATCCTTCTTAATAAAATATTTTCAAAAATTAATTCAAATACAATTAAAACATATTATTATATATTTTAATTTTTTTCACTTAAAATTCTTAGGTTATTGCATAAATTAAGGCTTTAAATTAGATTATACATCTATCAATTACAAAAATCATGATCTAACTATATTATAATATCTCAAGTAAGTCGTGATCTAATTATGCACAAGCCTTAAGAGATTATCTAAGGCTAGCTCTTGAGTATATGTCTATCTCAAATTAGATTAAATCTAATCCTAGATTGCTTGATACACAACCTATTTGAGATTTTCTTTTATCAATGGCTAGTTTCAAAATTCAAACACATATATATTAGAGTTGGCCACCCAATAGCATAACATATTAAATTATATGAAGCATTAAATTATTTATCAAAATAGATAATCAGAAAAAAAAATCTACTACATAGCATTAAAAGTTCATAGAATATCTAAGGATAAAAAAAGAACTAGTCACATGTAGCTTTGAATATGCAAAATATTTCAAAAACGACACAATGAATCAAAGGCATAAAATAGTAGAAGAAAGGAATCCAAAAAAATTCCCTAAAGATGCTCCAGGATGACGCTTCAATCTCCAATTTAGCCTTCAAGCCCTTGGTTGATATTCTAAAATTTCCTTCTCAGTTTCATAGATAACCTCCCCCTCCCTTTAGGAATATGCAAGGGCTTTATTTATAACTTTTTTGCATCCCTTTGACCTAAAATTTCCATCTTATCTTATTGGATTTTGTTAGATATTGTTTAACTTTGCATTTAGATTTTAAATCAACCTGTGCCATGTGTTTTTCCTCACGTCCGCGCAAGGTCATATTCCTCGGTTCCATGTCTGCATGCGGTTGAACAACGAAGGAACCATCTCTGCACGAGGTCGAACGTCGAGCCTTGAGATGTTCGTGTGAGGGCAAGCTCCTAGGCAATAAATTCTTTATGCTCTATTACGTCCCTACGCAGAGAGTTTCTCTTCTTTACCTGTCCACTGGTGAATAACTCTTTTTGAGCCTATTTTTTTGGTCTTTGATTTGATACTACGCATTTTTAACCTTTTATATGTTTTTTTTGCTTATTTTTCCTGAAAATATCTAAAAATAACTTAGTGAGGTATTATATTCAAATTTCTATCAATTTAAATGAATAAAGAGAATAGCTTGATGATTGTCTCCATGGTTTATAGTATACCCGCTGATGGTTCGTTTTAAATTTCTATTAAAATAATGATTTCATGAAGTTAAGTGGGGTTAAGTAACATACAAATCAAATTAGCACGATTAAGTAATTTAACTTGAATACCCTTTTTATGAATGAAAAGGATGGCCTAGAAGGATCGGATCTCTTTAGCATGTTTTAGGTCATCAAATATAAGTGAAATACAAGCGGTCAACAGTAGCAAAAGTAGGGTGTTAAGTGTTTTGAGCGTAACATCTCCGAAAAAATTTCCTTATGTTGGATATAAAAAAGTATGACTTTGTTCATCTATATGTGAATAGAAAATAAGTACATATTTATAGGGTATGATTGGTAAAGATTGTTGAGGTTTAAGAGCATAAAGAAAAACTAAGAGACGTTAAAGAGATAACGCAAAATAGAAATGATTATGATTATATTATTCAACTATAGTTAGAGGACAATTAAATATAATTAATCTAGAGATTCAGTGCTAATGTGGTAGTTATTGATGATTAATATTTAAAGTATGTGGAGTATACACATGGTGGCAAAGGATGATATTGTGTAATTTTATTAAAGAAGCTTTAACCCAAGAAGGATTAATAATAATCACATCCTTAATTCTCCTCCCAGTAACAATTCAAGATAACATTACGATTAATCTAAGATTAATTGGTGAAAGATGGTCATGGACCAAACAAGAGAGAGTGAAATATAGAATGTTTAATAATCATGTTTTATTCATCTCATTTCCGTGACCTATGGATTTTTTCTTGACACATATCTTTTTGGGTGGAAATGCAGAGATATATTTATATATTGCATGCATGTGGCATTTCATATATAACTTATTTTTAGATAATTGGTTTGGCCAAAAGCTTTATATGAAGATCATACATGAAAAACCCACGTCAGCGTTAGAATGGAGGGGACTTGATGAACTTCTTTATCCTACTTATTTTCTTCTAGTTGCGTTCATATAAAGAATAATAGAATATCATCAACGTGAGGGGTACGGAAGAATTTATTGGTCTCTGGCTTTTCTGTTCTCTCTGATATTTCCTCTCTTCTGATCGTTGGCAATACAAAGAATAATAGAATATCATCAACGTGAGGGACTCACTTCCTTGGCAATATATGTCAAAACTGTGATTCCTTCTTAGTTTGTGAATGGCATGACTCATGAGCTTTTTCTACTGTAAGTTTCATGTAATTCCGGTAGGTCGAGACTTCAGGAGCGCTTGGCTAAATAAGCATTCCTCCGTCTCACTATATAAGAGTGTTTTTTGTCCGAAGCATTCCGAGTAGATCTTTCATGTAGTAGTGTCTACCTCTAATATTGATTTCTGATTTGAGTAATCGTGGAGCAGAGACATCATTTTTGTTACTCCCTTGGTTAAAAAATAAACAGCATTTTTAATCAAATCTTATCCCTCAATGAAGTAATTATTTGTCTTCATCTTTTTATGTTTATCCCTATTTAATAAAATATTTTACTTTAAAATAAATATAAAGTATTTATTTATTAGTGCACTTTTGAAAAAAAAAACTTAATGATTACACTTTAAAATACTAAAAATATTTTATATTTTTTAATATCCAACATAACTTTAAAAAAAAAAACCTTATATTTTTTAATGGAAGTTGTCTGTATAGTAGTGCCTATTGGTCTTCTTGTTGTTAATTTGTGCAGGTTGGATTATAAGCTTATCACCAAAATGTATGAAAAAAATAGCAGATCAGTGAAGGGGCCACGGATACAGATCCACCTACATCGATCAGTCTCTGACCTCTATGTGTGTGTGTGTGTGTCTCATGAGAAATTAGAATTAGAATATATATGAGATACGTGTTACTATGTTACATGGCAAGCCATAATTTGACTATATACGTAATTCTTGGCCATTAGTATTGTACAAGTAATTAGTCCCTATATCATATATAAAACATGGGCGAGATGCTGAAATGGCATGCATGTCAATATAAATCTGACATGCATGGAAAGTGTTTTTTATTTTTTATTTTTTTAAAAAATAAAGGGAGCGTTAAGGGACGGGGAGAGATATGATGACTGCCGCCAGATCAACATCTTAGAATACTTGAAGTATCATCGAAGATGAGAGACAACTGAAACTAAATATAACATTAAAAGTAACATAAACCAGCCACACACTTATTTTCAACTCACAAATAGCTATACGTAGTTTCAACTCAAACACACCATAAGGAAACAAACTAAGTTCTCAGACAACATTATATTATTCACGCAGGTCTGGGACCGAGTTGGATATGTAGGTAGCTAGGTTGCTGACATACATGCATGCTATCAGAGATGGCGCCAACAGTACACAATTTCTTCGATCGCCGTCGCAGAGACGACTGAGTTGAGAAGTTTTCTGGTTCTCATGTGACAGCAGGTGACAGCAGCTCTATAAGAGAATGGATTTTCACTGAAATATTAATTTCAAGCGTTAATTAATTTAGTACTCACACTTCAGTTTCAGTCTCCTTTGTTGTCCGAGAGACTTGGCAGTCGCAGGTAGTGGGTGGGTTGGTTTTGTGTGTTGCTGTTGAGCCTTCTATGTAGTCATAACTCATGTGTACCTAAATTGCCTCCCACAGTACCTTGCTGTTTTGATCCATCTTGCCCATATTGCCCCCTCAATGGTTTTTCTGATCTATTGTATAAAACACCATTACTCTTATTAATTATTCTTATTAATTTACACGCATACTCATATACAACACACACACACCCCACACAGGAAGGATCGGACATGCATGCAATTGCAGCCTCTGATTTATAAGATATACTTAAAAGTAGAGCTTGGAAATGGACCAACTGGGCCATATACATTGAGTTGGGTTTAACTTATTTTTATATAGGTTAAAAAAAATCATAATACAACTCAACTCAAGGGTTGGTGGATTAAATGAATCAACTCACCAATATATGTAAAAAAAATTCATGAATTTTAAAAAAATTATACTTAAATGATAAGTTATAATATGATATTTATACAAGTTGAAGAAATTTATATCATAAGTGTATGAAATATTCTATTTCAAATGTGCTTGTTATAAGGTTGTGATGCCAAAACTCCTTCATATTTTAATTTTTAATTTTTAATAAATAACAAGAATCAAATGGGTGAACCCTAACCCATCAGAATTAGTTTATTTGATTCATTAGTTATTTTGTTCACAAAGAAAAAATACATTATTTTATTCGAATTAATTTTTTTAACCCAACCTAACTCATTAATATGTTATTTGGGTCAAGGTATTTTCCCAACTCTATTTAAAAGTGGTATTTAGTGCCGTTGTCCTCACGCCACAAGGTGATGATAGGCCCAATAACTATTGGATTTACACACAATATTTTATCCATGTTATGTGACTTATCAAAAAGCACCTACTATTGACAATAATTAACAACGACACACGACAACTGTGAGAGAATGAACTTGACCAAAACACAGATTGAGTCCAAGGAACATATAAAGAAGACTGAGAAAAATTGAAGCGCTAATAATTTAGTACTTACGCTTCATCAGTTTCGGTCTTGATTGTTGTGTGAGAGCCGTCGCAGGGAGTGGATGGGCTGATATTATTGTGTGTTACTGTTGAGGCATCTGCTTGTCTGTTTTCATCCTCAGTAGAAATGACATCGGCACCATTCGTTGGTTGACTTGATACAGACTTGCACTGCAGTGGATATTCATGTGTCCCTGCAAAGCCTCCCGATGTACCACCCGACCTACGTCCATCTTTCCCATATCTGTGACGTGATCTGTTTCCAATACCATTACTTTTATTCGTTGTTGTCCTAGTTTTCGTGAGTCCGTCTTAAAAGAACAAGCCCCACATTGCTTAAATAACAGAATCTATAAATATATAAATACTAAAGTGCAAAGGAACCAGTGGATGGAGTAGATGTCAATTATACATTTGGAAAGAAGCTTTCATGGTTACGATTTTGAAAGAAAACATTTATTTTTTTTTTCAAAATTGTCATGAAAATTAAAATGATAATACTATCATTATCATTGTGAATTAGTCCCTTTATTTCAGGCCTCTATGTATTCTCCTATTTATTCAAACATAAGGAAAAATAAAACTGTTCTCAACTTTTTTCCGTCCAGCTTATTATTTTTTTATTTTTTCTTTTTCCTTTTCTTCTTGACAAATTTGAATAAAACATTGAATCCAACTAAAATAATTAAATATAGGGCGAAGAAAAAGAAACCAATGACGTAGCAGGAAAAAAAAAACAAAGGATTGAAGTGTATGATCAGTGCTAACGCTTTAGTAGTGTCGTTCACATTTGTTGTTTGTTGAGAGCTTTCGTCTGTAGTGGTTGGCTTGATATTATGTGTTCCCGTTGAGCCTTCTGAGGCACCTTGTTGCCTCTTTTTATCCTCTGTAGATCTATATTTCAAAACAAAACACTATGTATTAATCTAGTTATCATCAATTATAGTACTTGATTTTATATTTAGATATCAACATTTATGATTTATATGCAGAAGAGTTAAAAGGACAAATAAAAACCTGATGGTGGATTGCTTTGGTTCCATGGGTTGTCCTGGATCAGAAACTCAAGAGTCTGAAGATATGGCTGCTGAATTATGGTATGAGCTGATATGAGAAGAGAATAATGTATTTATAGAGAGATGGATTGAAGAATATTCTCATCATTTATATATATTTGCGAGCATAGTTTCTTAATTTCACTGGTTCAGTATTAATTAGTCAAGATTATTCAGCGTACAGCTGCGTGCAACTACGAATAGATAAAGCCAACATATATAATCATTTGTTTAAACTAAAAGTTAGAAGATCTAAGTAATGGATTTCCCACTATACACTATTGTGTGTGTGTGGGGTCGAACCATCAAGTCTCAGTGCCTGGCCATCAAAATTAGCTGGTTTGCAAGTCTATTAGTTCATGTGCTTTATATAATGCACTATCTGAAAAGTGATCCTAGTTAGGTCTGAAGTTATATTAATTTCTTTTGTTTAAACCATAGGGAAAATGGCAGTTACGGATGTGCTTTGGATGTCCGAGTATGCATAGTACAGTAAAATTAAGAAAAATTAAAGAATGAAGTTAAACGACATATAATTAAGGGACTAAATCATGACATTTTTTACAGTTTAGTTGACTGTTTGACATATATAGCGAAGGAAGTTAGTCCTAAATATATTCTCAGGTCACAAAACTTAAGATTTAGAAAATGCTACAAATAAGTGGAGCTATAAAATTACAAAACAAGGGTAATAATGAGACGAGATCAAGTCTAATTAATGCCATGAAATAATGGATAAAAAGAATAGCTTGATGATTTTCTCTGTAATTATCTGTAAGCCCACTAATGGTTCATTTCTCATATTTTCTTTTAAAAGACTAATTCCTTGAATTAACTTGAGTGGGGTTTTAAGTAACATACAAATTAATAAGTGGAATTTTAGTACTATATATAAAATATATTCCACTTCAATGCCTCTATTTTATGAGCTTATGAGCGAAAAGGATGGCCTAGAAGGATCTCTCTTCAGTTTATTTTGGATAATCAAGTATAAGTGAAATGCAAGTGGTCAAGACTCAAGAACACAAAAATCGGAGATTAGGGCCTGTTTGTTTCCTGTTTTTGAAAATTATTTTTTTTTGAAAACAAAAAATTTTAAAACTTGTTTAACAGTAAGTGTTTTTCATTTAATTATTCTACGATTGTTTTCATTTTTTGTTTTTTAAAAAAATAGAAACAACTTCAAATTATTTTTATTATTTTTAAAATATATTATATTTGATTATTGAAAATTAGAATTAGCTTGACTAATTTTTATTATTAATCACTACTATTAACTTCTTATAACCATAACTATTTATCTATTTTTAATTTTAAAACTGTTTTTTAATTAACATAACTAAATAAATTTTTATTTTATTTTTTTTAAAAATAATTTTAAAAAATATACTACAAAATAATTTTTTCAAATGAAAATAAAAACCAAGCAGGCCCTAAAGCCTTGTTTAGTTTCTGTTCTTGTTTTTTATTTTTAACAATTATTTTGCAATACCAATTTTAAAATTTTTTAAAAACAAAACAAAGAAAATATGTTTGGTTGCATTAATTTAAAAACAGTTTTATAATTTAAAAAATCAATCGATAATTATGATTACCAATGATTAATAGTGATAGCTTATAATAATTATTGGTTAAAATAACTGTAATTTTTAATAATCAATGTAATGTATTTTAAAATAAACAAATAAAATGAAAACATTCTTGAGATATTTTTATTTTTTGTTTATAAAAACAAAAAATGAGAATAATTTTAGAAACAATTAGATTTAAGATACTCATTCAAACAAGTTTTTAATTTTTTATTTTTAAAATGAAAAAAGTGATTAAACGCAATAACCAATAAATTAATATTAAGCGTAAGTTTGTAACATTCCAAAAATTATATTTTACCCAAATCTGATAGACAGAGTAAGAGAGAATTAAATACATGATTAACCTAGTGCTAATGAAGATGATTAATATGAAAAGCAAGTGGAGTCAGCATGTCAATTTTGTGAAAACGTTTGATATCATGTGATTTTATTAATGAAGGATTTGATAGCACTTACATGTCAATAAAATTAAATAATATTAATCTTAGGTTAGTGGAAGATGATAGTGGACCAAATAAGAGAAATAGCCGGAGAAAACACAATATATATATATATATATATATATAAAGCAGAGATCAAAGCAAGCATAATTCTTTTTAACAAAGTGACAATCATGTATTCTTCGTCTCATTTCCGAGACAAAGGGAATAATAATTTAATATTATTAAATCATGTAAGTGTACTTAGGTGTCGCTATTGGAGATTAACAATTTTTTTTAATAAATGAAGGTTAACAATATTGATAATAGGGGATTATGTGGCAATAATCAATTTGTTAAATCACGTATTCTTCCTTCAAAGTTTTTTTTTCGTTTGGTAAAAAAAAAGAACATATCATTGCCTTACGAGGGTAATGGACTAACAATATGGATTTGAGGCCCAACATAAAACATTAACAAACTTTATGTTAATAGGTGGGACCAATTATATAGATTGTACAACATTATTATACTCTATCATTTATCAAGTTTGTTAACTAACAAATCTCGATCAATAACTTCTACAAATGTTCTCTTTGGTTTTTCTTTACCCCTTTTAATAAAGCTCAAAATTATTTATCTCACTTTTCTCACTAGCATCGCTTGCAATCTTCTTTATACATATTTAAATCATCTCAAACGATTCTTTATCATTTTCCCCTTAATAGGTGCTATGTTTATTTTTCTCATATGTGCTCATTTTAAATTTTATTTTTACATGTATGCCCGCTCATTTATCTCAACATTCTCATCTTTGTTATTCCAATAATTTTGATTTTTTTTTAGTGCAAGTTATGAAGTTCAAATACTCCAACACAATTAAGTGACTAACATTGGTATCTAAAAATCTGCTTACCTGTGCTCCAGCTTTCTTTGTAAGTCAAAAGTCTCCTTGCAACGAGAATTGGAAGAGATTTTGAGTTTAGAAGAAACTAAGTGGTTCCAGAAAGTATGAACTCAATGAATTAACAATAGTGATAGAAACACTAGATATTACCACTTAAAAATGACTATGAGAAGGAGGAAGAATGGATTTTAACTCTAAAAGATGATTCTGGGAGATCTATTGAGGATGAGTTGGAATTATAAGAACTTGTTTCTCAGTATTTTAAGCAAATTTTTTGCCTTAAGGACTCAAGTGAAGTTTGGTTAGATACTAATACTTATTTCCCTACTATTAGTCAAGATCTCAGCTGGTTTAGCAGCAATCCCCTCAAATGAAGAAATTAGAAAAGCTGTTTTTTATGGACCCATATAGAGACCCAGGCTACGATGGTTTCTCCCCAATCTTCTTTTGAGCTAACTGGGAGACGGTAGGAGACTTTCTTTCTTTGTTTTTTTTTTGTCCATGTGTGCACGAGGTTTTCAAGGGTTCTTATTTATGTAGTTGAAGCAAATAAAACCCTCGCCTCTCTTATCCCTAAGAGAGACAAGCCAGAGCTAGTCAGTCATTTTCAGCTAATCTCTCTGTGTTTTGTTTACTATTAGTGTATTACCAAGATTGAAGTGATGTATGGATAATCTCATCTCCCCTTTTCAAGCTAATTTTGTACCAAGACGCCAAATCTAGGATAATATCACTATTCGGAAAGAGATTATGCATATTATGAAGAAAGGGAGAAGGAAAAAAAAGTTTCTTTGCCATGAAAGTAGATCTAGAAAAGGTTTACGATCGGATTAGGTGAGATTTTCTAAAGCCAAGCTTTTGGTCGATGTTGGTATGAGCTCCGATTTCATCAATTTAATTATGAGCCGTATTACTACCATATCTTATAATGTCTCGTGAAATGGATTGCGAACTGGTTTTTTCTCTCTTCAAGGAGGTCTTCATTAAGGAGACTGATTTCTCCCTTCTTGTTTGTGCTGTGAATGCATGAATAGGCTTTCTCACCTTATTCGGGCATCTCGTTACCTATCCACGTCATGAAGCAAGTGCCCTCAATCTCTCATCTAATGTTTGCATATGATCTCCTTCTTTTTGGTGAAGCCACTAAGCAGCAAGCAAATGTTATGATGGGTTGCCTCAATGCTTTTTGTACAGCTTCGGGAGAGGAAGTGAACAAGTCAAAATGGATTATCCATCCGTCACATTAACGGAAACGTACGTTAAAAATAGTCAAAGTGCGCGACAATGAGATAGCATCAGGGCATGCCAACTACAAGCATATACCTCATGAAATTAATTAATTAAAAGCCTACCTCGATTGCCAATTAATGTCCAATGTCCCAGATGGTTAATAATTAATTAAATTAATTATAGCAAAGGTCAGCATCATTACTAGCGTTAAAACCTGATTAATGTTGCTTTAGCTTTATGCCATTAGCAAAAGTGTACTTATATTATTGCCTCCTCTGTCCTGTGCTCCTTCTCGACTCTCCATTTTGATTTGGATTCAGTTTCGGTGACTATATTTAATATAGATATTAAGTGCTCAGACCATCTGAATCGTTAAAATCTAAATCAATAGTTATGAATTTATATTTTACTTGAGATTAATGAATGAATTAGTTTATCTGCACCATTAATTTGAATTTCAACAACTCAAATAACACAGACACCCAATACATATACTAATAAATATAATCACTAAATTCAAATCCCTTCATTTTTCATTGTCATTGCATTTATATTGTCTTATCATTTGGGCCTCCTAGTTACTATAGATGAAAATAATTGTTTTTTTTTTTTTAACACAGAGAAAAGGCTACAATTTTTTCAAATTGATATTCATTATTCGTAATTTATGGGGGTTTTAAAATTTTATTGAAAGTATTATTATTCATATTTGATATACGTTAAAAAAATTCAATTGAGATATATAAAGGTCAACTCTAATTGATGTTGAAGATAAATTTTTTGGCTCCCCCTTTTTAATGATATGATTTGTGATTTCCACAATAAATTTAGAGTTACAAATTATATTCTCATTTTTCTTATAAGAAAAAAAATCCAAAAATACCTTCACCAAATTCTTGATAAATGACTTCCAAAAAATTTTGATTGCTTGCATAATATCTGTATAATTATAAGATAAAAGACATTAAAATTTGGAATCACTCTAAAGAAGATAATAGATATAAAAACTTACATTAAAATCTTGAAAAAAAAATAATCAAAAAACCTTTTGAATTGTTTGATGAAGTTTACCCAACTATATTTTAAGGATGAATCACTCAAATTATGATATGATGGTTACACCTTGCAGCATTGATAGCACAAATACCACCAGTGAAATGAACAATGTACAAGCTAACAATATATGCAAAATAGGTAATACTCATACAAATTAATAAAAAGACCAAAAAAAAAATAATGAGACATCATATACAATAAATTAATGAAATGTAAGGAAAAAGCAAAATTCACAAATGAACATACATCCGCACAACTTTATTTATAATTACTATTTAGTTAATGTTAGAGGGAATTTTGAATTTGAATTTTCAATCAAATGAAATATAAATTAAACCTCAAACAAAATAACCCATCCACAAATCTTGGTATAATATAAATTTAAATTAAAATTTAAATAGATTTTATACTTTTTGAATACATAGATATTTTATTATCTATTATCTAATTATGTAACTGGTAACCACTATTTTATTATACATATGTATAGAAATTTTTTTTGGTAATTACATATGTATAGAAATTCATTTTAGTTAATGATATATTTTTTGAGCTTAGATAAATATAAAAAATAATACTCCTTTTTAAATCGGGAATCTTTACTCTAATCAACACATCTAAGATTTATTAAATTTTGTAAATTGAATTTTTAAATAGAACATTCATTATTTGATTCCAAAAATGGACACGTGGCATAATTTGAAGTACGCAAAATAGGACATTCATTCATAGCTTACTATCCTATTTTTTTATATATAATGATTTATTTTCTTTCTACAATATTCTTATAGATAACAAAATATAGATAAATTGATATATTGATATTTTTTACCAGCAGAATTGAGATATTGTTATTAATACATTGATATAATATATTCTACTAGAATTTTTCAATTAAAAATTGTCATTAGCACGGCATTTACCATTAACACTATTTCATTTCAATATATTGTTATAATTAGTTATAATGGGAATGGCGTATCGCGAAGCCCACAAACACAAACCCTTGAACCCTCCTTCTCAGCCTAAACCTTGAGGCAATCTTCACGAGGGCTCTCAGAATGAAATTAATAATATATAGGGTTAAATACATTCTAAAACTTTTTTTCAGGTCGAAGAACCTCAATGACAACTAATTTTTTTGTTCAATTACAAAAATACCCTTAATTTTTATAAAAAAGGCAAAAAAACCCACTGTCATCGTAACCATCCCTGGTGAATAAACCACCACCGCACTGGAAGCTAGACCTTCGTTTAAACACTTTTAGTTATGCATAACAAAATATAACATATATTATAACTTCTTTTCAAGCATTTATATGACTTGTTGTTAGTCATAAATGTGTTATCATTTATCTCTAAATATTCATTTGTACACGTACCAACATAATTTGTTCATACATAAAAAATTGTTAATTTTTTAAACCTAACTTTTTTCAATTTTTTAACAACTTATTATTTCAAAATTGACATTTTATTAATATTATACTAAATAATATATATATATATATGCTACTAATTTATTTTTAAGGATTTTCATGAGTTTAAATTATTTATGGATACATTGTTGTTCATATCTAAACAATTATTTATAAATATATATATATATATATATGAATATAACTTGTTTATAATAAAAAAATTTGTTATGTATATTTAAAAGTGATTGATTAGATATATACAAGTGATTGATTAGATATGAACAATGATATATTTATGATTAACTAAAATTCACGAAAATGCTTGAAAAATAAATTTTAAATGCATAATTTTTTTATATATGAAAAAATCATATTCATATATGTATGAGTGATTGTTTGGATATGAACAATAATGTGTCCATGAATAACTAAAGTCAAAAAATACTTGAAAAATAAATTTATAACACACACATATATATTTTTAGTATAATATTGATAAAATGTGAATGTTGAGACAACAAGTTGCTGAAAAAATTGAAAAATTTGGGTTTAAAACACTGTCAATTTTTTATGTACAAACGAGTTATATTCATATATGTACAAGTGATTATTTGAATATGAATAACAATGCGTCCATGAATAAACAAAACTTATAAAAATACTTGAAAAATAAATTTACAACATATATATTTTTTATTTAGTATAATATTGATAACATGTTAATTTTGAAATAACAAGTTGTTAAAAAAATTAAAAAAATTAGGTTTAGAAAATTGATAATTTTTTTTTATGTATGAACAAATTATGCTTGTATATATACAAGTGGTTGTTCAAATATGAATACATCCGTGTGTGTGTGTGTGTGTCCGTGTCTGTGTGTACGAGTGATTGTTTAAATATAAATACGTCCGCTCGTGTGTGTGTGTGTGTGTTTAGTGATTTAGTGATTATTGAAACTCATGGGCCTGCAGAATTCAGAATACATTGGCCCTATTATTTATCTCAATGATCCCAACCCCAACTGGTCGAACCGGCCACCTAAAGAGACAATCTTGCTTGATGGATGTGATTTTGAGCATTGGCTTGTTGTCATGGAGAAGCCCGAAGGTGATCCCACAAGGGGCGAGATCGTTGATAGCTATATAAAAACTTTGGCTCAGGTAGCGGACAGGTACTATCTTATAATATGACTAATCAGCGGATGGTGGTGATCAATTTCTTTAGGATCTCAAATTTTTAGTTCTTGACTGTCAGGAGATGCGTTTTATTGAAGTTTGGAAGATTGTTTCCTTTTCCCTAGTGTTAGCTTGTTAGTGTTTTATAGCTGCATATTTATTATGGCAGATATTTTATCTTAGCGGCCTAATAGATTACTTCACAATAGAAGAAGCAATTTTTGCAGGTTATTCATATACACATCTGCTGTAGTTTTGCAATTGACTTGTATACTGTAGTCATTGCTGTACAATCATACTTCAAATAAATGGTAGAGCAGAAGAGGAAGAGAAGCAATTATGTTTCGCTTGTTACTGAGGGCACGCTATTGTTTTAATTTTTGGAAAAATATATAGGGAGAATATATTTTTACTATTTATATGAATTCACATTTTGGCCTTATGATTGGCATTCAAATTGTTCACTCTTTTAGTGAAGAAGAAGCCAGGATGAAGATACATTCAGTTTGTATCTGAAGAACTTTCGTACAAACTTAAGGGTGAAGATAATCCTAAACACTTTCTTTCTTTCTTTTGTTAATTAATTTTTCCGTAAAATCGTGAACCTGACTAATCTTTCTTGAAATTGCAGAATTGCCTAGAGTTGTTCCTGATTCATATTTGGACGTCAAGAACAAAGATTATGGAGGTAAGAACTTTGCCTTCAATTTCAAAAATCTTTTGGATATTGTACGATATGTGCATTTCTTCCTGCTCTGGTCAATTCAATATATCATCAGCATCTCTCAAAAGTTCGGAAGGATCTGCTCCATTTGTATGATGCTTGAAATCCCGCTAGAACGTAATCTTTTGCATATATTATATTATTGCTGCTGCATAACTGCAAGCCGCTCACATTTAGTGGAATCTCCCAATTCCCCCGCCAGGTGAACCCTTTATGAATGGGCAAGGTGTTCCATATGATCCCAAGTATCATGAAGAATGGGTAAGGAACAGCGCACGGGCAAATGAAAGGAACAGACGCAATGATAGGCCTCGCAATGCTGATAGGTCAAGAAATTTTCAGAGGGAAAATATTGTGAACAGAGATACGCAAGGTAGACCTCCTATGCCGAACGCTGGTCCTCACATGAGTCCCTCCTAATCACCCTGCTGGATATCCACATGAGCAAGGCCGATACCCTGCCATGGTTATAACATCATAACTAGATAAAGAGAAGGAACATTATCCTTGTTTATATCATAATTAATGGCTACGAACAAGAGTAACACTTGGAACTGTAGTTTTAACAACCTGAAAACTTGCTTACAGATGCTTGCTAGTGTGTGCACGCCTATAACTCTACATGTAACCATATGAATGCTCTTTTTTGTCCAATAAATTATATATGCTCATTTCTTTCTAGAATGAAACCTGTCCTTTCTTTCTCACGGAGTGTTAGAAAATGAAGAGGAAGATTAATGGTGGTAAGAACTGTTATTGAAACTAAGCAAAGGACGATTCAGAAAGATTACCAGAAGAGTCATATTCCAGAGGTATATTCTCGGAAGCAATTGACGAGTTTTGCAAGCTAGTATGAATTCCAAAATCGGTGGTTCCGTATAAGGGAGGCCTCTCTCGTATTCTCTGAACTTGTTTCATTGCTGGACATCCCTGGTTGTGCTTGTGACTACATCTGCAGTAGTTCCTGCATCCATATGCAACTTCATTTTCAATTTTCAATTCAATTCAATTAAGATAATGTTGAAACTACAAGTTTAAAGGGAGAGTTAATTTTAAAAAACCAGCTTATTATAACATGGAAAAGTTGTTTAAACTTATAAATCTCACTTGTAAGATAGACAAACAGACACATGCAGTATGTATTATTGAGTAAGATAATGTTTACGAGCATAAGATTCAATCTCAAAAAATTAAGTATTAGATGATATTATAAATCCTACTTATTTTGCAAGGTTCTCTAACGTGGCAATCATAATAGATAGATTGACAAAAAAACACATATGTGTGTAGATTTAGATTCGATGACTATATTTAGTAGAAGCATTGAGTGTTTGTATCATCTGAAGTATTAAAATTTAAATCAATAGTTATGAATTCATACTCCACTTGAGATTAATAAATGAGTAAGTTTATTTAAACTGTTGATTTGGATTTTAACAAACCAAATGGTACAAACACTCAATACTTATACTAAATACAGTCACCGAATTTAAATCCATATGTATGCACTAATTTGGTGGCATGGAAAATTGAGATTATCTATAGGGAAAATCACATCCAGCCCCCATCAAAGAAATTAATCATGGATAAGGATTAATGTCGAACGAATTACTGTTAAAATAAAAACATGATTTGTTTCTTCTTAAATGGGACTTGTTATTGATTTTTATCTGTAATTAATTCTCTTAGGAGGGGACTGGATGTGATTCTCTCTTATTTATATAACCTTAGGTATGTGGCATTCATTCTCCTCTTTTGTCTGTACTTCCTCCATGCATAGCCATTGTCCACAAGAATCATTTTTAACTCATTCCTATTTATAACTCATTTTTAATTAACTAATTCAAACAAATCAAATATGGCTAAAGTTAACCCAAGTTCTTCATCAAATCATCCCATCCTTCTAAAATTACCCTTAATAGCAGACAAACATTACCTACTAATTCATGACTAAGATATATGCGCAGAGGCATGGATTGTGTGTATGTGATTCTTACTTCCTTAGATAACAGCCTCTTCTGTTTCTAGTGTTGAAAGACTTGACAGTATGATGATCCAAATGATTGTGATCCTGATTAGATTTAGCAGGAGTAGCAGCAATAAGGATGTCATAAGAGTGGAAGAGAAGAAGAGTGTTTGAGAAAGTGAGCATGTTGCTGACAAGATCCTAGGCAAATGGAATCCATAACAAGGAGCCTTCATCTAATCTAATAGCATCAGACTGGTCATGATGATGAAGAAGAACAATTGAAGTAGCTGCTTGCTCAGGTCTCTCCCTTTGAGAAGCTCTTAAGTTATGGCCGTCTTAAGATCTAATGAAAATGAAGCCCTAATATTCTCCATCCTGTGTTTAGGATTTTGGAGTTCTCTACTGGGAGGTCAGAGAGACAACAGACCTAGACAGACTCTGTTCTAAGGAACGCCCCCACTTGCAATTTACTCCATCTGATTTTGTTTATAAGTTATTTCTATCAACTTCATCAATACCAATGCAATAAAAGTATAAGAAATAAAAGTAAGTAAAATTTTAAATATAACTCGCAAGTACAAATCAAAAAGTAAACAAACAATACAATATTTTTTGTGTTTTTTTTCTTACTTTTTAAGAATAATTTGGTAATTTCAATTTAAAACATGACAATTCCATCGGTTAGTAACTTGTAAAGTAAATCAAATTATGATTCTAGAAAATGACTAATATACAAGACCAGAGGAGTATAAGTTATTTGCTATTTAGTGAGCTGACCCCTAAATGCCCCATAGTAGACTTTTGTTATTAATATTGAAAATTTTTTTAGTTAAGTTTTGGTTTGTTCGTCCCATGATTAAATTTGATTAATTACAAGATATATCTACTGATACATATATTATTGGAAACATCAATATTCAACCTCACAGGTGCATTCTAATTACGCAAAGGCACTGTGAAATGAAAAAATTAATTTGAAGTCTCAAGAGACTTTGAGTAAATAAGTTTTCTTTCCTAATTGCTAATTTGGCCTCTAGACCTTCCATGGGTATTCGAAACTCTCTCTCACCCCCTTGCTAAATGGGAATGGTTTTCACGTGCATCCTTGCGATAAAATATGGATCATTCAGATTTTAATTTAAACAATCGAGATTTAAAATATTATTTTGTATTAATTTATTAAAATAAAAATTCATAAAAAATTATAAAATAATTTTAATAAATTTTTAATTTGATCTACATTTAATTTAGAGAGTCTGATTTAATATTAAAATTTTTATAATTAAATATCTTAAATTTTACAGATGCACTCTGCACAGTCCAAATTAATATTTGAACTGTGCAGAGTACATCTAGATAATTAATATGCATCAAGTATAAAAATTTTAATATTAAATTAGACATGTAAATTAAATCTAAATCACATTAAAAATAAATTTTAATACTTTAAAAATTATAAAATAATTTTAATAAATTTTTACTTTAATAAATTAATATAAAATAATATTTTAAATCTAAAGTGTTCAGATAAAATCTAGATGGTTTGGTGCTCATCTAAGAGATGAGCAGGAAACCGTTCCCCTTGCTAAACACATTCAGCGCTTCTGCCATCAAATCTAGAATCAAACGCCATCTTTTTCATAATTCGTCACACAATCTCACGCAAATGAGGCCATCCTTGTTGAATGTTCAAAAAAAAAAAATCAAACAATGGTTAACAAATTCTCGTATTCTAAAAAATAATAATAAATAAAGAACAAATATCAGAAGAAAGGGGAGGGATTGAAGGAGATATGTGATACAGGGAGAGAGAAAATAAAGTATGTGAGGGAGAAGCTTTGATGGAGGAGATCTGTGATCGATCTTTCAGAGAAGAATGAGGAAGAAGCTTTGAGCCTCGACATAGATGGCATTTTGACAGAGGATCGACGAGGGAAAAGCTTCAACAAAAACCAAAGAAAACCAAAAACACGAAGGATGTCGTTCACCGAAACCACAAGCACGAATGACATATATAGTTTTTAAGGGAAACGAGGATGGAGAAAGTGTGTGTTTTTCAAATATGGAAGAGGAAGATTCAGAGGGCAATTTAGTAATTAGGCAACAAAACTTATTTATCCTGAAGTCCCTTGGGACTTCAAATTAATTTCTTCTTTTCGTAGGATCTTGGAGTAATTATTAAAATACTTATGTGGGACTCCTCAATAGTGATCTTCCCTATATTATTTGAACCCAACAGGCCAACAGGAAATAGAGTCAAGTTTATCAGGGCTTCGTTCATTCTGTGCTATGATTGAGTTAATTAAGTAGATCTTATAAAAAGAAATTATTGGATAATATGATAGTGTAATTCAGCTTAGATTCCATGCAAAATACATATGGTTAATTAATTAAGGCCATCAAATTCAAGTTTGGCCAGGTGTCGCTCCGATAATATAATTTAAGGCATTCTACGTGATTAAATACCTAATAATCATTAATCTTTGTGATTGATCAAAAAAATTTTCTCCTTAGGATGGCATAACTATAACGGCACCACATATATAACAAATTAAATAAGATGATTTTGAATCGGTTAATACATGTTATTTTCAATGCAACAAGGAACATATATTTTGACGATATTATCCTTGAAGCGCTAATTTAATTTATATACTATCCAATAAAAATATCATATCAGATAAATTTAATCCTCCATGTCAGTCAGGTTTTTAAGAAAATAAAGCAATATTTGGATGATCATTTCATCATTTATGATATAAGACAAAATATCAGATTCTAGCAATCAATTATACTTTGTTTCACTTTTCGGTTTAATGGAGAGAAGGGAGGGATGTTAATGATCCATTGTTTGATTTAATAAAGGGGGAGTGCTAATTGCTAATTATTATCTGATTATTTTACTCCTATGAAATTCAATTATTTTCTTTTTTGTTCTTCTTATTTATTTGAAAAAATAGGCACATATAGTGCAATTATCATCTTCTCAACTTACATGATAATTAAATTTTATTTTAAATATATTATTTTAATGTGGGGACAGAGAGAAAACTGAGAGCTTGGAATGGCAAATGAGAGATTAGAGTGTGATATTGATCAATAGGGTAAAAGAGAAATTTTAAAATTTGTATGAATCTAAATTTGTCAACAACTAATTTATTTACAACTAGCTTCCCTTAAAAAAAAAAAAAAAGGCGCGCGTACACACACACAGAGACACTTTTGAAGGGGAGAGTGAGAAAAGGAAAAAAGTAGGAAGTATCTTGAAAATTTTTTAAATCAAACAAGGGGAAGAGAGTTGCTCACTTTCCGTGTTTAAAAAATTTCTAAAACCAACTCTTTTCTCTTCCTCCGAATATGAGATTAGATATTTATGCATCGTCTCCACTCAAATTATCTCGATCAATACAAATAACATCTCACATGCAACTAATAATATACTATAAGATGTTTTGATAATCAGAATAAGTCATAGACATATTAGTCAGTCATATGATGCTACACTAAAAATAGCAAGTCGTCGTGAGGAGAAACACCACTTAAAACGATGTAAAACCTTATAGTAAGGCAGAGATTATAGTATAATGAAACTTCTTTAAATCATTTAGCACCAAATATTGACTAAACTCAGAGATACTCCAAAAGGCTCATTATATTCAAGATGACTAACTAGAGGGAGAAATGCCAACTTAGACCAAATTAATTGAGATCCACCAAAGTCATAACGTGGACATAGAAGTTAAATAGAGAGTCGTTTTTAGACATATGACAATGGTAATTGAAGTGCAGAACACTGCTATATATATATATATATATATGGATGGTAGAAAGGAATAAACCTTTAAACTTGCAAAGTCTATCTAGCCATATCTGTTTCTCCCATTTGTTCCAAAGACAAAAGTCCCCTTTTCTCCTCGCGAAGCAAATTCTTCTTACGAACTGTGTTTTGTGTGTAAATTAAAACAACTTAGCAGGTTTCAGTGTTTGGGCAGAGAAATTAATGGGGAAAATATATGGATGGGAATTTCTAATATGATTAATTAAATCAAGTTCGGTAGATAAATGACCAACCAAATTAAATAATAGAGCACATAAAAATGCCCATTTATCTCTATTATGCAAATGAATGTAATCATTAAGATCAAAGCTTAAGTTATCAACCAAAGAAGAAGAAAAAAGAAAGACGCGGTATGGGGAGGAAGCCAAATAAAACTCAGCTGGCGCGCGCGCACATATGGAGGAATCAATTACGATTAGCTAATTTAAATTTGGTCCTTATCTTTGTAGGGTTGAACTCTAGAAAGTTTCATCGACATGACTCCATAACAGCTGTGATTTCAAAGGCAAAATCAAATCTGTAAATAAATGATCTTCAATTCGCCGTGCAAAGTTTTTACAGTACAGATGTTCAGATTGCTGAGTGATTACTAAGAGTGACGTCGTATGAATGACTTCCTGTGGAGCGTCAACCTGTTGAAAGACCGTTATGCCCTTTCAATCTTTGCTTGAGAGTAGAGAAGATACCAACCTATACTCTGTAAATTATAAGAATGGTAAGGGCAGTTTAGTGTGTGTCACCCTTTCTAGAGCAATCAACTCATTTTATTTTATCATATATTTTATTTCTGTCCTAAAAAAACCGTTTTATTTTATTGTTCTCAGGGGGGAAAAAAAAAACCGTGTTAGTGTTCTTCGTGGAGGTCAAGAGATTCTCATTATCGCATATTCGCATGTGTGGTCCTTGGTCCAGGGAAAAACATATGAATGCATCGAAAGAAAATTTTTCATCTAAATTGATGTTTATCATAGAATAAATAATGATATGCTCCCCAAATGAAAATTTAAAAATAAATAATAATAATAATAATGATGGACAGTTTCTTGAGTAACACGCACATGTCTATGTTGCAGAGTCAGGCTCTTAGAACACATAAATCTAAGATCTAAGTAAGGATAAGTTTAATAATTGAGCACTAGTTCCGGCATCGTCATCAAAGTATTTAGATATGCGATTAAAATGTGAGAGACTTGGTGCGTATACTTGTCGTAAGAACTTTTTCCACACTCTTCAGAAAATTTTTTTGATGGACTTAATACATCATGTTATTCATAGCCCATCCAATTAGAAAAAAACAAGTGAAAAATATAAATACACCCCCCCACATAAGGATCAGAATTACCATTATGGACCTACTTATAGAAAGTTCAATTAAAAGATCATTTGTCCTTTTATTTAAAATTTTAAAAAAATATTTTTAGATATTTTATAAAAAGATATTTATTTTATCGATACTTTTATAAAAAAATAGATATTATTTTATTGCAATAATAAAAATGTTATTATTAATTATTTATTTTTAAATTTTATGATATGGTTTTTTACTTCTATTCTGTAAAAATGATTTATTATTTAATTATTTTAAATTTTTATGGTATCTACATGTATCCATATTTTTTAAAACATTTTCCCTCATCAACCGCATCATATTATTTTTAAAAGCTATCCAAAATAATTTTCGTGTCTGGCTATTGGAAAACCTGCTGGTGGCAAGTCACTTTTTTGTCTTTCCTCTAGACATAAAACCTTTTTTAAAAAAATGTAATTTGGTCATGATTGTTGGTAGGTAACACAGCTTAGTATAAGTGTAAAATTCAATAACTTAAACTAATGAAAAGTCTTAACCTTATTTAGAAATATCATTTTTTTTCTTAACCCCATGAATTAGTATATAAAACAATTTGCACGAAAGGTAGATCCGTGGATGTAAGCAATGTCCTCGTGGGTGAAAATTGATGTGATTCTATTGGTGAAAATAATATTTGCCTCATCTATGAAGCCAAGATGATGGCATCCGATGTTCTTTATTTATTATTATTATTATTTTGCAATTTACAAGGATTGATAGCTGACACCCACCCATCTGGTTCTATTTATATGAATCAACTTATAATGAATTATTGAAACAAGTTTCAGAATGAAAAGTAAATCTTTCTTATTTTGATTCTAATTATTCTTTTACAATGGGAAGCATATACTAATTATCCAAGAAAGAAGAAGGCAGGTTATTAATATAATGTTTGGTGGACAGAAAAGTATTTTTTAGAAAGGAAAATGACAACAAACCTGTGTCATTTTCTTTTTAGATACATTTCACATTCTTTTCCAGAAAACATGCACTTCTCCATGTACTAAACATGCAGTCTTGCTCTGGTCCTCTTTCTCTCTGACAAGTTATAAAACCAAATCACGGACCAAAATGTACAAACTCATAATCAAAGCACTTTAAAATAACATCATCCAGTTCAATAGATTGGGGCTTGACAGAAGAAACCTGATCCAAGGTTGATGAGGATAACACTGTCGTAGTAGTGACATGCTTAGATTGGGACGCTGGGGTTTGCTTCACAATATGATGATCGTTGGAAGTCTCTTCTTCCTTCTTGGTGGATAAGAAAAAGGATTGGTCCTGTAATAATTTTCCCTTGAGACAAGTATCATCATTGAAACTAAGTAACAAAGAAGATTCAGAAGGCCGAGAAGAGTGATGATCCAGAGGGATCACAGGAAGTAGTAATTGGTGGTTGTTGCAAGTGTGACTGCCAAAATAGGTGGTTCTGTGTAAAGGAGGCTTCTCTCGTATTCTTTGAACTTGTTTCATTGCTGGACATCCCTGGCCGTACTCGTGACTACACCTGTAATAGTTCCTGCGCGCCTCCACACATATTTTCAATTCAATTCAGACCCAAGAAGGAGATCGATCAAATGGAGTAGATCACACACACACACACACACACACACACACACACACACACACACACACACTGATATATGACCTTAGATATTTAGCATTCATTGTCTTCTTTTGTCCATATTTTCTCCATGCATGTCCATCGTCAACTAGAATTGGGGATTTCTCCTCGCATGTTTGCATTGCTCTTCTGAAAAAGTTTAAAGAAAAGCAGTGCAGTTAATAACCCCACACACACACACACACACACACACACATTCACGTTGCACAGGAAAAATAGTTAATTTTGACAGAAGACATAGTCTTGTCACGCTGTACAGAAAAGTAGTTAATTTTGACAGAAGACAGACTCTTATAAGTTACAGAGTTCAAGGCCTTGTTTAGAATGAGAAGAAAATAGAGAGAACAGAAAAATCCTTGGAAAGGAGAAAAACCAAAAGAAAATTTTTATGCTAGGCAGAAAAAATATCTTTTTCTTATATCTTTCTCTCCTGTCATATTCTAAACGAAGGCTAAAAATGATTTATAATTGATTAGCTAGCTAGGAAAGGTTCTGACTATAAGATGGAGAACTAGACGTGGAGTAGAAATATATAGTTGTGCAGCAATTAATTACTTCCTCAGGTAACAGCGTCTTCCGTTTCTTGTGTTTAAACTGTTGAGAGTATGATGATCCAAATCATGGTGCTTCTGATCAGATTCAGGAGAAGCATCGGTAGGGATCTTAAGGGAGTCAAAGAGAAGGAGGGTGTTTGAGAATGAAGTGAGAATGTTGTTGACAAGATCTTGGGCACATGGAATCCATAACAAGGAGCCTTCATGATCTGATCCAGTATTACTGGACTGATCACGATGGTGAAGAACAAGTTGAAGAAGCTGGTTGCTCAGGTCTCTCCCTCTGAGAAGCTCATCTGTGCTGGCCTTTTTAAGATCTGATGATGAAGACGAAGCCCTATCATTCTCCATCTTTATCATCTTCCTAACTTGGAGTTCCATTGATGGGAGGTCGCCTATCGGGGTAATATGACACTCCCCCACTTGCAAAATTGTCAAATGTTCTTCGCAGATGACACCAAAATTCTCCGTACGTAGTAGTAGACATTTTTTTAATGCCAGTATTCGTTTCACAAGTTTTGTTTTTGTAAAATAATTATAATTATAATATATTAACTAATACAATGTATCAAAACAAATCCTGAGTAATTAATTTTATCATCAGCTAATTCTATCGTGAAATGGCGCGCGACTATGCCTTTCACAAATTCCACGCCTGAATGGTGGGTACCTGGCTTGCAGGACAAGTGCAGGTACGTTGTTTAACCTTTTTTTTTTAAATAAAAAAATTAGGTGAGATGTAGCGAGTAGTCTGGGCGGGCCAAGTTTACTCAGGTCAGACTCAATTTAGATCAAGTTTAAAATATCCTGTTCTTTTAAAAAAATTATATAGTCAAGCTTGATCTTAACTTTTTTTGAGCTGGCCCATTAAGCTTAACCCAAATTACCTGTTCTGGTGATGGTTTTAATAACTAATCGAAAAGGTCAATATACTCACATTAATAAAGCTCTTATATCAGCAGAAATATTAATTCTAATCTATCCATATTCAATTTACTGTTATATATGGTAAGTTGATGCTTTCAGTATTATTATTCATCTTATGATGTGTTGTTCTAATTAAGTTATTTGGTCTTTAGAAGTTATGGGGTACGATTAATGAGTTCAGTCAAATAAATTCACTAGGAGTCCAAATTTGCACACAACATTTTATTTAAAATAAGTTGAATTTTCAACCATATATATATATATATATTGCCACAATGGTTCAATATATTATTATGCGAGTAGTGAGGGAAACGCGGAAGGCAAAAGGGGGGAAAAAAGAAAGGTGATGGGGCCAGTACGTAGAATTTAATTAAAGCGAGACAAAAGCAAATTAATTGACCTAATCATGGAATATCCAAATCCAAACACCAAGGTTTGCACATGTAATAATAATTCGAGTTGGACGGTTTCTTAAACTCAATTAAGACAATCTAATTCAAGTGTGAGCAAGGTCCCTACAAGCCATGCTCTCTGAAATGATTCCCTGTTATCATAATTCTATAGTTCAAGCAAACATAATATTATTCCAATTCTGAGTCAGAAATGAAAGTTGCATATATCATGCATTTCATACGCTAGCTATAGCTCCAAATAAATTGAAAACAAAATGTATAAGCTACAAATTATATAAAAATCTCTTTTCCAAGAAGATGATGATGTCACCATTATCAGAAACAAAATGGGTAGAAGCAGGGCAAAACAAAATCAACCTAATCATCGAACCAAATCCTAAAAGCATATATAGATCATGGTAGATTCTGTACGATAGATACTGGCGTATAGGTAATCAGGGTAATTCTAGTTCAACAGATGGGAATCATAGATCCAAATCCAATTAAACACGCAGCAATTACCAGGCAATTCAAGTTCCACGGATGGGAAGACTCTTTGAGCACCATGATTGTATATATTGATGGTGATGAAAAATATATATGCTCTTTTTAAGGAAGTTCCATTTGCTAATAATAATCTGGCTTAGCAAGCTTCTGTGGTGAAATGACAGATTCTTAAACTTAGTGTCAAGTAAAGTCCCTTCAATATGTTTGTAATCATGCAAGAAAGAGATTAGGGATCCTTGGACTTTGCCTAATGACATAACATAATTAATTAAGTAGGATGATTATGAAAAGATGATTAACATAGATGATAGGGTACTGCATTATCCAATAATGTGGCATAGAAACTGAATGAAAAGTGAAAACTTTGGTTTTTATTTCGAGGCAAAACCCTCTATATTTCACAGGGTTTTTTAAGAGAAGCCATAATTTGGAAGGCACATGATAGTGAATTAGTTGGACATTTTGGACGGGAGAAAACAGTTGATCTGGTGAAGGAGAACTTTTACTGGCCTTGACTTGAACGGAATGTCAACAGACATATACAGAGATGCAGAATTTGTCACTTGGCTAAATCCAAGGGTTAGAATACTGGACTATACATGTCTCTGCCAATTCCAGAAGCACCTTGGGAAGATATGACTATGGATTTTGTTCTGGGTTTACCACGGACTCAAAGGTAAAAAGATTCTGTCATGGTAGTTGTGGATTATTTCTCAAAAATAGGACATTTCATTCCATGCCAGAAGACCAACGATGCTGTTCAAGTAGCAGACTTGTACTTTAAGGAGATTGTGCGTCTTCATGGCATTCCTAAAACTATCACTTTTGACCATGATGTGAAGTTTCTTAGCCACTTTTGGCAGATGCTATGGAAGAAGATGGGAACTAAGCTCCAGTTTGGCAGCGCTAATCATCCCCAAACAGACGGTCAAATTGAAGCTATAAATAGGATTCTTGGTAATATTCTTCATAGTTTCGTGAGGAAGAATTTGAAGTAGTGGGATCTCATTCTTGCTCAAGTTGAATTTGCTTACAATAACTCTATCAACCAAACAACTGGGAAGTGTCTGTTTGAAGTTGTTTATGGGTGAAATTACCTGATTCTTATGGTGTATCTGTCACTTTCAATGTTACGATCTATCTCCTTACATTGATCATGATGTCAAATTTGACTCGAGGGCAAGCTCTACTAAACCCGGTGAGGATGAAACGGACTGAAACGGACAAGTGCCATAAACAACTTCAAACGGACACTTCCCAATTGCTTGGTTGATAGAGTTATTGTAAGCAAATTCAACTTAAGGAAGAATGAGATTCCACTGCTTCAAATTCTTCCTCATGAAACTACGAAGAAGATTACCAAGAATCCTATTTATAGCTTCAGTTTAACTGTCTGTCTAGGGATGATTAGCACTACTAAACTAGAGCTTAGTTCCGATCTTCTTCCATAGCGTTCGCCAAAAGTAGCTAAAAACTTCACATCACAGTTAGAAGTGATAGTTTAGGAATGCCATGAAGACACACAATCTCCTTAAAGTATAAGTCTGCTACTTGAACAACATCGTTGGTCTTCTGGCATGGAATGAAATGGGCCATTTTTGAAAAACGATCCACAACTACCATGACAAAATCTTTTTGCCTCTGAGTCTGTGGTAAACCCAGAATAAAATTCATAGTTATATCTTCTCAAGGTGCTTCTAGAATTGGCAGAAGCATGTATAATCCAATATTTTGACCCTTGAATTTAGCCAAGTGATAAATTCTGCATCTCTGTATATGCATGTTGACATCCCGTTCAAGTTAAGGCTAGTAAAAGTTCTCCTTCACCAGGTCAACTGTTTTATCCCGTCCAAAATGTCCAGCTAATCCACCATCATGTGCTTCCCAAATTATGGCTTCTTTCAAAGAACCTTGTGGAATACAGAGGGTTTAGACTTGAAATAAAAATCAAAGTTTTCACTTTTCATTCGGTTTATGTGCCAAGATGGTTAAAAATAATAAAATGCCATCTAATATAAGACAAAAAATAACATACTGTCATTTAATATAAGATAGAAGATAACAAGCTGTCATCTTAACTATAATATGAGATAAAAGACAACAGACTGCTATTTGATATTAAAAAGACGGATATATCATCTGGTTTAAGTTCAATACAAGCAGAGTTTTTGAATTCCCCTAATGTTTGATGAAAGAAAGTTTTCTATGATGATGACTTAAATCAATTAAGAGATTTCAAGCATAAGCGTCCCTCCCTCAAATGTAGTACTTTCTATATAAGTGTTACTCATGGCCATAACCATACATCGTATATATTATAAAATGTTGGTCATTATTGAGGGGAGAGAAATTTGGAGTGCAATAATTAACAAAATAAAATAAGATGATTAATTTCTAACTATACTGAGATAAAATATAGCTCAATTAAATATTCATACAGCATGCATGGAGATAAAATACAATTACCTCATAAAATAAAAAATGGCACTATCACATAATTTAAGATGAAAGACAAAAGTAGGCTGTTATCTTATAATAAAACTGTTAGATAATAAAAATCAAGAAAATATGTCACCATGAATATAGAATGTAAGACAAAAATAACAGGTTGTTATCGCATAATAATAAAATTCTCATGGTCTCATCTCTAATATAAAAAATGACAGCATATTGTTATTTTATAAAAACTAAGAAAATATATATATCGTCGACAAAACAACGTGATCTTATAAGAATCACCATCTAATATTAAAAAATAACAATATACAATATGAAAACTAAGAAAATGCATGATCAGCGCAAACAAAACATATAGTACAAAGAGGTTTTCAATTATCCATTCATGTTCATTTATCTAGTCGCTTAGGTATATCCTAACAGCATGTGGTTTAATTTATCCTAATCATAAAAAAAATTAAATGCAGAATAATAAAAATAATATATTTTGTTATTTTATATAATACAGTCTGTTATCTAATAAAGGACCAAAAAAGGAAACAAGTTGTCATGATTTATATATATAATAGAAGAAAAACAAAGAGTATATAATATGGTGCGAAACGTTCCTTCTTCACCGAATCAAAGAGTAGTCTTTGAACACTGGGCCACTAAAAAATGCCAGCATGAACAGACCCAAAAAAAAAATGCCAACTCGTCCAAATGAATTGAAATCGCTCATGCATAATTAACACGTATGTAGAAAATAATTTTTTTCATCTAAAGAAAAAGAAAAGAAGTCATTTTTGGATATGTTGATATATATTTGATGACATCTGAACTGATGAAGACATAACACTCTGTTCTGTGAATGAAGGTCATTTTATGCTTTGGTTGGACAAACAGTTGTAAATGCAAATATGGGAATATTGGAACGTTTAAATCGAGTTTGGCAGAATAGTTAATGGCCAGAAACATGATAGATCTGATCTAACAGAACACCTATTTTTCTCTGATCTTAATTAAGCAGAGTTTTATTGTTAGCAGAAAAAGCATAGAGGCAAAGATAATTTACCTTGTTTCGACTAGTCCTGAAAGAATCTTCCAGAACATAGAGCA